TACCTCAACCTCATGTGAAAAATCGTGTAGCAGAGATGATTCTCCGAAATTCAAACTTGCAAGTTGATCATGAACCATGAAAAAATGTGAGGATGAAATGAACAGTGGGATATGGAAATTTACCTTTTGAATGCTGAAACGTCAGATGTGCTCGATCATTGATGGACTAGTGCAAAGGGATGCATTCCAAAACCTATCCAACAACTTGCATAATCTATATGGATGTGTCCGACACTGGGCTCTACTCCGTAAAACCACATGTTTGTCACCACAACCTTGCCGCTTAAACATGCTTAAACCACGATTTTCCAGAATGTTTCACAGTGATGGCCATTTACCAGTTATAACTGGTTATTTCTATGGGATTATACATTCTATTTGGTTATAACTGGTTATAACTGGTAAATGGCCATAACTGCATGGAAGATCACAGATTTTCACAGCTCCGGATTCGCCCACGGGTGCCCCAACGGTCTTGGAGCTGCGCTGATCGGAAAGCTTCTTCTTTCAGGGCCTAAAAAACGAATGGGACCATGTGGACGGGATGAAAATGGGATGATATCATGGGAATCGATATTTGGGATTCCCATTGCATCATGGTTCTTAGTGACATTCCCATTTGGGGTCAGCAATCATGGGATTGACATATTGATTCAGATTCATGGTTCCCATGTATCAAGTTAAGTCCAACGGAATATCATGGGAATTCAGCAAATTCAGCAAATGCCCATTTGTATCATATGGCCTTAAGGGAATGTTTCATGGAATGTTTCATGGAATGTAATGGATGTGCTTGCTTCAGTTGGTGGTGTGTGCATGTGAATTTATGTGTTTCACGTAGAGCGTAGTCTTGGACTTCATTGCTCATGGAAGAAGAAGAAAAAGAAGAAGAAGAAAACGGGAATATGATGAATACGTAAATTGCATTTAATGGGGATGGGATAAAATATAATGAAATATGATGGGATATCATGAATTTCCTTGTTGGTAATAGCTAAACACCACTGAACCATGGGATACAGAGTTAAGGTGCTTCAACTGTCAGAAAATGGAGATTACCTCTCAGCTTCAAGCAATTAGTATATATAGTAGATTTAAACCAATAAACAAATGAATGCAACCAACCAAATGGAACTATGATGGCTTATGATAGTGATGGACAATGACTAGTTACAATTTAAGTCCCGGATCCGTGGTTACTCCATCACAGTTCTGGGGATTTGGAGGCGAAAAAAACGATTTGACCGAAATTGCCAGTAATATGTGATTTTCATGTTAATGATTTTCATGTTAATGTTGGCAAGCATAATCCCACTCCAATTTTGCAAAAGTTGGAATTATGGTAGATGTATTGAACTAATGAATAGGGGTTTGAAAAACCAACAAACATAACTGCTTGTGTTGACCACCTTGCAGGTGAAAGGGTGAGGGTCATGTCGATGATGTCCCTGACTTGTTGGTAGCACGCGTGGTTCACCATGTAGGCGTGCTGTTGCGTCTGCTCCAGCACGTTGGCTGCTGTGTTCAGATTCCTCACACCCAACTCCTGGCAGAACTCCGGGGCCAAAATCACGCAGAGCCGCCCTGTGATTTTCTCCCCGCATTGGGGCTGAGTCCCAGCATTGTGGTACCCATCATGAAGCCGTTCCTTGTCTGCGGGAGGCATGGCATGAACATGCTTCACAAGGGCATTGAAGTTCGATTGAAAGGCTGGTTGTGCGATATACCACATACGCCATTCAATGGACTCGATAAGCCTCAGCTGGTAGGCTTCCGGCATCACATTGCAACGCTTAGAAGAAATCACCATTGAACCGGAAAGAATTGGGATTTATATTGATTTATATTGATTTAAATTGATTTAACTTGTTTTTTTGATTTATATTGATCTATATTGGTTGAAGATAGGTAAGTTTGTAAACATGACTAGCTTTACAGCATATGGTTTACAGTAGATATATCGAAGCATTCAATGGCGGTTACAGACCACCCTATAACTGAAACTGAGGGGCGACACATTGTATGATGCTATCATGTACGTGGTAAATTGATACATTGACATAAACTAATGCCTGTTATTGACCTTGGTGGGTGGTTATCTGCATAATGGTTGTCATAGTCAAGCTTCTTTTGAGAACCATATCATAATACTGATTATTATAATGATTATGTATATATATATATATATTATATATATCATTATAAATCATGGTCTTGATGGTGCTTAGAATGACTTACTTACAGCGGCGATTACCAAGCTGTTTTACCCACTAGATAGACCATGATTGGCGAATATCCCATTTTGATGGCTGAATACATTTTGTGTGCGACTTACCCTCTGGTATCTCTGGTAGTATGAGATGGCAGTTTGGGGAAACAATGAAAAGAAAAACATGGTTTGGCGCTCATTCCCGTCACTTGCTGAATCAAAATTATGTCGCTAGCCATTGTTAAATTTCACTAATGTGGTTAAAACAATGTCATTTTTACCACCCATGACTGGAAATGGTTTCTACATAGCACCTATATATTTATGGTGATGACTTTCTGGTCATGGTAAACATGACATTGTTTTAACCACATTACTCATCCACTCAACATCCATTAATCATCAACAATCACCAAGTAATCACCATTAATCACCATTAATCATCCATTGAACCTTCATTACCAAATCGGTTTTCAAAAAATCGCTTGACCACCGAACCATCAGAGATGGTAGCTCCATATTTCCGTTAATTTGGTGCCCTCCAGCTATGTTTGTTGATAAAGGAAAGAAAAGCCCATTGACCATAAACCCAACAGTAATATATAGTAATTGGAGCTATGTTATATTTGTTTGTTGATACAGTAATGTTTGTTGATACAGTAATAAAAGCTATGTTTGTTCAATATACCATAAACCCAACAGTAGTTGGAGTTATATTTGCCAAGTTAGCTGACAGACTGGCGTGCCACCTCATACCCCCATTGAATGCATCTGTAGGATTCAAGTGACGACCCACATTAACTATAGATATATCACCTATAAACCATAGTGAAATTGGAGTTATGTTCACCAACTTAGCGTTCTCGAACGGGGGCACCACCTTGTAGGATCTCATGTGTTGCTGGCAAAAGCTCCCAATGAAAACCAATGAAATCGTCCATGTTTCTCAGTGAAATCACCTGCCAATTTCACTCACACCATGGATGGTATTGAATCAACCCTTACTTGTCGCAGTTGTGGTGCCAAGCTCACTGAGCATTGTAATTGTAATAAAAGAGAAAGAGAGAAAAGAGAGAAAAGAGAGAAAAGAGAGAAAAGAGAGAAAAGAAAGAAAATAGTATAACATGATATGTCCAAAGAAAAAACGTGAATATATCATAATATTTCCACCAGATTTTTGTTCATTTTTTCACCCCCAAAAGTGTGGACGGATGGCTGCAAGGATCCCAGGCTCATCAGCGACTGTGAAGGCCACCAAGCAGCTGCAGGTGCGATTTGGAATCCTCATATTTTAAAGAGGGAATTTCAATACGTATGGTGATGACCCTGTTTATTAAGTTACCTTAGCTAAGTTGACTCATAACTTGGCAGCTCATGATCAATATTCAGACTATGCCGGCAAAGCCATGTGTGGAGTCAATGATGCAACAGTTTTTGGCTCAGTCAGCGATTGGGAATAGGTCCAGGAGGCAGAGCTAGCCTCGGAAGATGTAGACAATTTTTTTCTTGTAGCAGAAAGCAAACTCCCTGGGGGACAGGCCACAAGGCGCTCTTTCCGGTACCAATGAAATGCAATCTTGGAATGCACTTCCAAGCCCTTCAGCTTCGGACCGCTGTCTGTCAAGTAGCGCGCTTCGTAGATCTTCTTGCCCTCCAAGATGCTCTGAGCATGGCGCCGCTAGAGGCTTGACCCATCAGTGTATTTCCACCATTTCCTGGTTGGTGGTTTCAACCCCTCTGAAAAATATTAGTCAGTTGAGGTTATCATTCCCAATATATGGAAAGTCAACAAATCCATGTTCCAAACCACCAACCAGATAAATCACTGTTAATCCCTAGAAAACCCCTAGAAACTGCCTATAACCCATATTATTCCCACAATGTGGGGCCCCCCAGTTATAAGTTGGTTTATAAACCCCATTAACCATAGTTGTAAGTACAATAAACCATAGCTATTGGAGTCATAAACCAACTTAGCTATCTAGGGGGCACCACATTGCATGGATCATATTCCCATTTCTTTCTGTTCGGCCCCAAACAAACCCGAAACGCTCCCTAGGATCTCCGGCATGTGCTCGCTGCATCGCCTTCAACGCCTCCGTGGCAGCCTCCATGAAGGACACGGAACCTTTTTGGCAGCGCTGGACGTGGCGTCGCCATGGCCGTGACATGCAATTTATTATATTATCATTAGATTACCATATATATATATGTTATTATCCATGACAGTTCCATCAAATCTCAATAACTCCCAATAACTCCCATGTTTACTTGACCATGATAAGTGCTGACCCCTACACATTACTTGGTTAAATCAAGTTAAATCCCATAAATCCCATGTGAGGGGTCAGCAATTATCATGGTCAAGTAAACATGGGAGTTATTGCATGGGAGTTATTGAGATTTAATGGAACTGTAATGGATAATAAAATAATATGGTAATCTAAGGAAAATAAAACTATTGATTAATATAAGTCATATGGTTTATGTAGGAAAACACATGTGGTTTTCAGCCAACCTTAAACGAGTACATGTTCCACGATCAAGTTGGTTTTGTTTGAAAATAGGGTACCCCAACATCAAACAAAAAAAGCCACACAGTTTTGGCATGTTTTGGCCATTTATTGGTTATAAGTACTAACACAACCCCATTTATAGAATGTATAATCCCATAGAAATAACCAGTTATAACTGGTAAATGGCCATATTGCCACATGAAGCAGCTATTTGCGTGTGTACCCCATGTTCAGGCACCCAAATGGTGTATCTAATGAAATCCAAAAGGAAGAGTCTACTGCTCCCAGGACATAGCGTGCTGCGTGCAGTGGCACTCTCGACGATAGTAACCCCAAACCATAGATGTAGTCTGCATGGGCCTCCGCCCATGCGAGAACTCAAGGACCTTCTTGTTTGCACTGACAAAGATGCCGACTGACGAGGCGTTGACCATCGCTGTGCATTGTTCAACTAGCTCTCGTGCGAGGTCCATCATATCGCGGCTCGAGTTCGGCATCAGCCCCATCATACGCAGGATTGCTGCTTGTGCACTCTCTTGCTGTGCTTTCATCCACTCCTCGTGCACGGCCTTGTACTGCGGGTCAAGCATGCCATCTGGCGTAACACATGCGCTTTGCTGTTCAAGGATGAACAGGCGCAGCCTCGCTTCAATGTATTCTTGGCCGTGACTTTCATTGAGCTCTTCGAGCTGGGCTCAGTAATATTACAAGAAGTAGCAGAAGCAACACAGTTATGGCCATTTACCAGTTATAACTGGTTATAAGTGGGATTATACATTCTACAAATGGGGATATAAGTACTTATAACTAATAAAGGGCCATAACTGTACAAGAAGTAGCAGAAGCAACAGGTAATCGGATCGCCTCAGATGGCAAGTCCTTCCTCAGTTGGATCTCAAGGCAGAACACTTCGCGATCCAAGTGTTCGAGGCGGCACTGGAGTCGCCACCACTCATCGAAACAGGCAGAAATCATGCGAACTGGGATGACACAAGCGCATGGGGAGGAGGCCATCGATTGAAGGACTTGTTGGCTCGCATAGATATGCTACAAGACAAACACATGTTTAGTTTGTAATACTGGTTAGTGAAACGGTTAGTGGTATACCTACCCCTCTGGAAAAGATGAGTTCGTCAGTTGTTCACCTTATTCCCAATCTTTGGAAAGTCATAAGATTCATGTTCCAAACCACCAACCAGATAAACCACTGTTAATCCCTACAAGATCCTTAGAAAATCCCTATAACCCATATTATTCCCATGGATCATATTCCCATAAAAATGGCCAAAACATGCCAATTTGCTCCGGTTGACCCTGGCCGGTGACCCTTTTCGGCCCTTGACTCGGCCTTTCACTTCAGGATTAAAGTGCTCCTTGTAGCCACGTGCCTTTCCCAGCGGCTGATCTGGTTGATCTGGTTTTTCATCAGCGATTGTATTTGAAACTGATTGATATATGGCTGGAAACTGGTTGGGAAAAGAAGAAAATCTGGTTGGTGGTGCAATAACCATCTTGAAAAATATGAAAGGCAATGGTTGGAGGATTATCCCATATATGAAATGGAAAATAAAATTCATGTTTGAAACCACCAACCAGAAATAGAAGAAACGGATTTGGTCGGACTTTCATGCTGACATATTCTGAAACTCCGATTGTATTTGATTTGTATAATCAAAAATGTGGTTTTGTGGTGGATTGGTGATGGTTTTCTGGATGCTTCAGGCTCCTCCCATTCTGTTTACCTTATCTCGCGGACAGTTGGCATACGATTCCAACTCGGGAATGAATCTTGCATACCTATACCGCATCTTTGCAGCCGCATTCAAGCCACATTGGCTGCATTGCAGCCTTCCGAACCTTCCGCCATCAAACTTGCAGTAATTCATCAAATGCAGCTTGGTTCATTGGCAGAATTGGACTCCATCCACAGGGATGCTCATGGCTATTAGTTATGACTGGTCATGAAAACTGGTTATTTCTGTGGGATTGATCATACATTCTATTTCTATGGGGTTTTCTTACTGGTTATAACTGGTATTTCTATGTATTTCTGGCCATAGCTGCCACAGGCACTTTTCGCTGGGGGATTTTGGAGCTTTCCAGGATCCAATTGATGGAGGTAAACGTACCATATTTCTGGCCATATTTTGGGGGTATATCCAGTATATCCCCTGAAATGCCTGAAAAATAGGCCTTAAAAAAATGGGTAGGTATACTCCAATCAATCACTTTCTGTTGCATGGCCATTGAAATTGGTCTTTGCATGGAGACTGTGACTGCTATTCAACTGCCGGAAGTTTAAGGTTTCTGAGTGGTGTATGGTGTAAACTCAAATGAACACTTATCTGGTTGGTGGTTTCAACCCCTCTGAAAAATATGAAAGTCAGCTAGGATGATTATTCCAAATATATGGAACAATAAAAAATGTTCCAAACCACCAACCGCAGTTATCTACACTGGGCTCCAAGATAGGTAAATTGTGGTAAGGTTATGAGTTGGCTAACAAACGGCTTACAGCTAGATGGGTGAAGATAAGCCAAGTGATTACTGGGGAGCTCCACTTGATGTACTGTCATATGATATCATGCGATTCTGACTGGTAGTCGTTTTAACCCCAAGAAATAGATGGATCATGTTGTTAAGCATCGACCTTTACTTGTCTTAGCTATGTCGTTTTTGTTTGGCCCATCATTTGTGAACCATATAAAATTCTATTCTCATGCGACAGTTCTGGCACATCCATATTCAAAACTGTTGCGTCGTCCCAAAGCTCAGGTAGCTACTGGTGGCTACTCTCCAGTAATTCAACCCCAGGGAAAAAAAAACCTCTGGTAATGACTAACATAGCGAACTGGAAAGATCCACCATGCTATTAATGGGAACATCCACTATTTCGATTGGGTCATGGCTTCAAGTTCGCAAACTGTAAACGTTTACCAGGCCGGGTACATTGAACAGAAACCACACATGGCTTTTCTGCTCGCACACCCTTGGACCCACACAGTTCACCTAAATACGTTTTGTGGTAGATACATCCATAGTTAATCTGGTTGGTGGTATACCTACCCCTCTGAAAAATATGAAAGTCAGTTGGGATGATTGTTCCCAATATATGGAAAAATAAAAAATAATCCAAACCATTAACCAGTAATGGTTTATTTTGTTAAGCAACACACATTTCACTGGGCCCCACATGGTTCAACATGAAAAATCATCCATGGAGGCGTTCATAAGTCAATCAGAAAAAGGTCCATCCACAGCGTTGTAGATCAAGAGCACTTTGGACAAAAGCTGACCATCCAATTTCTTACTGGTTCTAAACGTAGGGAATTTTCGAGAATGATCCATTTCATCACTTTTAATGATCCCAGCAACCCCCAGCAACCCATCCATGCACTGCGTAAAACACACCAGTAAGTTGTGAAGATGATTTTGAGGATCATCCTACTTAGTAAGTCCCCGAAAAAGGGTTATCCGGTTATCCTAGTTATCCCATCTATAAATGCATAAATTAGCTACGGTTGTACAAGGTGGTGCCCCCGTTCGAACGCTAAGTTGGGGTTCACATAACTCCAATTTCACGTGTTGGTTTTTGTTGGTGATATATTATCAAACTAGTTAATGGATGTTAATGGGCTTATTTCACCAATTTATAACTGGGGGGGGCACCACCTTGTAAGATTTCTTCAACAACCGCAGAGTTCTAAGCTTCCAGACCCACGAAACTTCCTTGCGCAGCTTGGACAGTCGGCTGGATCTCATGAAACTCCTGACCGGAGACGACCGGAGGCGCTGGGCTTAGGCAAAACATCTACTGCTTGGTGGGTTTAACCAGGAAAAATATGGAAAGATCCACCATGCTATGTAGCTAGGTAAATCAACATCTAAATTTTGCGATTTTCAATAGCTATTGACTAACAGTTTGCGAACTTGAACATGGCAATTTATATAGTTCGTTGATTTACCCGTCAAAAATGGTGATGTTCCGGAGTTTTTTGTAGGTTTACCAAAGGGAAATCACATCTACTGGTTGGTGGTATACCCACCCCTCTGAAAAATGATGGAGTTCGTCAGTTGGGATGATGCAATTCCCAACTGAATGGAAACATAAAACATGTTCCGAACCACCAACCAGTCTAGCATATCATATCATGAAACCATATGAAACCTAAGATATCCCTTACAAAACTAGTGCCCTGAGTCAACTGACCTTTCTTGTCGCACACATTCCAGGGGTGTAGCTATTTAGTTGCGGCTTGGTCAGTGTTTTGGCCCGCTGTTTTGGCTATTCTGGCTGAATTGTAATCATTCACTACGCTGAAAATAGCTATTTCCTTGAAGCCATATCCCATATGAGAACCATGGTGCTGGAATATTTACCTACATTTGCCCTTGTCCAAAGTCACCCAGTTTTGTAGGTTTTTATATACCAGCACCATGGTTCGCTTTTTTGGGGAGCTGGGGAGCATTGAAGCCATCATTCCAATGATGTCACGAGCTTTTTGGTCCATCTACCATTCATCCTTTTAAACACGTTGTAGACACGTCATCGTATGTAGGAGGTGCCCTCCAGTAAATCAACACAGACCCTGGCAAATAGGGGTTGGAAGATTGGCTTCCACTAAAAAATAATGATTTTCAGGGTCTATGTTAATTTACCAGAGGGTAAATCTAAGCCCCAAAAAAAAATCTACGAATCATCCGAAGATATCCGAAGCTGGTGCCACGACTCATCCGGAGTTTGCGAAGTGGAAGGCGAAGTGTCCATGTAGTTGGATGAGAAAAATGATGATTTACCTACTCTGGTTGGTGGTATGCCTGCCCCTCTGAAAAATATGAGTTCGTCAGTTGGGATGATGAAATTCCCGATATATGGAAAAATGTTCCAAACCACCAACCGTACTTATTTGATTGATGGTAATTGTCCAGATTGCTGTGAGTCATTACCAGAGTGTATATCATTGCTTGAGTTTGTGGCTGCCTGTAGAACTGTCAAAGTTCCTTTGGGATCCATTTTTTACGGATCATGCATTTCCGTAGCTAATTTATGCATTTATAGATGGGATAAGTGGGAAAACCAGGGGACTTACATAAGTAGGATGATCCTCAAAATCACCTTCACAAGATTCGCAAGTGTTGTTGTTCAGTCTGAAGCCATCACCATCAAGGCCTTCGACTGATAAAAAACACCCGCACAAACACCAACAAGAAAGAAGGTCAGGTCCGGCTAGCCCAAAATGACTAGCAACGATTTGGTTGGTGGCATTTCCGCATTTGCGTCCGGCGACGCCGACCGTGTTACAAACACTTTGATGGTTTTATGCGCTGCTGGGAGACATCGGCCATGAGGTTCTTGGTGACTGCGTCGCGTCGCGACTGGGTCCAAGGGATTGTCACTCTGAGATGTTCTCGCGTCAAAAAGACAACGTCAAGGAGTTCCATCAGTTCCATGATTCTTCCGTTCTGTTTCGAATCTTTCGACAGACCGACAGCACGGTCACCGAGGGGTCAGCTGTCCACGGGTCCTCAGTTGTTCGGCTGCTCATTTTCTTGGGTCCGAAACTTGCACAGAGGGATTTTATGTGTTTTCACTATATTTGTTCAAAAACCAGAGCATACACTTTCATACACTTTCCCCATCCAAATGATTACCATCTGGTAAATTTAATGTACAAGGTGGTGGCCCCCCCAGTTATAAATTGGTTATAAGCCCATTAACTAAAGATATATCACCTATATATACTATAAACCATAGTTATTGGAGTTATAAACCAACTTAGCGTTCTCGAACGGGGGCACCACCTTTTAGTTCTGGAAAATCAGGACTTTGAATACGTTAATCATTTTCTACATCATCTACAAATGGATCATTTTCCAGAGCACTGTTAAATAAGGTCAAAATGTGTTAAACAATGTTAACTAATGTTACAATGTGAGGCCCCCCAGTTATAAGTTGGTTTATAAGCCCCAGTAACTATAGTTATGAGTACCATAAACCATAGTTATTGGAGTTATAAACCAACTTAGCTATCTTGGGGGCCTCACATTGTATGATAATAATGTTGAATAACCAGAGGCTTAACCGTTGCCATAATAAAATGGCGTCAATCCATGCAAATTCCCCACAAAATGGGACACACATGGACACATTGGGTGGTTCCGGAATGGGAATCGATAAGTTGGGATCTACATAATTCCAAGAACTGTTGGAATTATGGTATACATACAGTCCTAGTTCCATAAACATATCTGGTTGGTGGTATACCTACCCCTCTGAAAAATATGAAAGTCAGTTGGGATGATGAAATTCCCAATATATGGAAAAAAAACATGTTCCAAATCACCAACCAGATATAGTACAGTTATAGTACTATAGGTACATATGTATATATATATACCTGGGACAACCTTAACGATAAAAAAATGATGTTCCCCCAAACATGTTTCTTCAGGTGATACTGAGACAGTGTTTTTTCCAATTTCATGTTGGCTGCAGCCACCTGGCTCATTCGTCCCCTGGCTTTGGCCACCTTGTTCCTCCAGTGCGCCCAAGATTTGTAAAATCATCACCTCTTAAACCCTCTTGCAAGCTGAAAACCCCAAGAAAAATGAAAAAAATGAAACGGCATAAAACCGCAATCAAACGGCGTACGCATATTTTTTTGGAATGATTCCATTTGGTTTGATCTAAACCATGGAGGCCTGTTGTACTTTTTGGTAAACGTTTACATAACTATGGAAAATCACCATTTTCAATGGGTAAATCCACTGTAAATGGCAATTTTCAATAGCAAACTGTTAGCTTACCAGAGGGTAAAGTATCTGACCCAACTTGATCTACATTGATCCAAACACCGGCACTTGGGCTGCAGGTTCCAGGGAAACATCACCAATGAGCTGAAACAGCCTTTTTTTTTTGTTCTAACGGCGTTTTTTGATGAGACGACAAACAAATCTTGTGTTTGGGATGACGACTAAAATTTGATACCACCGGTGCTTCTAGGTATATACTATATATTTACATCAACATATGTGCGACGGTCAAAACTCAATTCATGTGGTGAGGTCATGGCATCGCTTCATAAGGCCCCCTATCGCTACACACAGTCCCAGCACCCTTTTCACCAACTAGGCAGAATTGCTGCTAGAAGAGGAGGATCCAGATGAGGAATCGGATTCTTATTCCCCTTGCGATGGTATCTCCAGGGAAATTCAAACTTTTACTTGATCACCAAGGCTGACGTCGACAGCTTCAGCTAGACACCAGCCGGACTCACTGCAGGTCATCTGACCTCGGAGGCTGCCCTTGGCTTGTGTTGGCTTGTCTTGGCTTGTCTTGCCTGTGCTGCCTTGTTTCCGGCGCCTTTTTTTCTTCACCCCGCCTCCTTTGCAACCTAATACCACGCCAAAATGAATCGGCAAAACCCTGACCAAATGAACCCTTTAAGAACTAACCCAGTAAGAACTTGAGGGTACCCTTGTTCATACTTCCCATATTTTTCCACCTATAGCACAAGTTGTATAGTTTCAAGTGACCATGTGGGGTACTCCCTAATTTCATGGATTTCAGGTATCGCTCTGGGTATCGAGGGGTATCGCTTCGGGCATCGCTACGGGGACCAGAAAATGTGTGATCTCAGGTGTATGTTTCAAGTGACACGAAATTCTGACAAGCTCCATGTTGCAATTCTACTCCTGGACAGTGGCTTTGGAGAAGCGTCCGTGACCGCACAAGGATGCTTTTTCAACATATCTCAGCACGGTCACTATCTGAATCAACATCATCACCATCACCATCATCATCAGCATCATCACCATCATCAAGCTCATGATGCGTTATGAATTAGTTTCTTGCATACCTTATAGATCAACATACCCCAATATATCAATATTGTTTAATGTAACTATCTCATATATACTTGACGACAGGCCATCTTGCAACTACCCAGGAAGACCAGCCCACTGCGACTGCTCCAGTGTCGCACTCTGACATCAAAAGATTGGAAAGTCATGCGCCCAACAGGAAGCTTCAATCATAAACAAAGTCTAAAAAGAGGTATCGCTACATAAGGCCCCCTATCGCTACACACAGTAAATCACATATTTTGAGTAGTGATGGCGGATCGTAATTGAAGCCTTTCATAGCGTCTTTTGACCCTTGCTCATATATATATATATACTAGGTATATATATATATACATACTGTACTTATTTTAATATTATATATATATATAGTTACAGAACTAGCTGACTAGGCGTTACAAACCGAATGATCCCACACATTCCCATTAGGAAATCCACATCATTCCATCCAAAATCCCATGATTGTCTCACTATTCCTATTGTAATCCACAGAGTTATGGCCATAAAAACCAGTTATAACTGGTTATTTCTATGGGATTATGCATTCTATTTCTATGGGGTTTTGTTGGTATTTATAACTAATAAATGGCCATAACTGCAGAATTTATTAAACTCTCATAAACATTTGGATTTGCTTAAGGAAGCCCCTTGCCGAAATTGCAAGCTAATCCCTTGATTCATTCCCGAAATGGTGGATTTCTTCTTAATTTCAGCAAATCCAGGGACCCATTACATCCCATTAAATACCATTAAATCATGGGGTTACCCTCTGGTAAACATAGAAAAAGCTATTGAAAATTGCCATTTATAGTAGATTTTCCATAGTTATGTTAGTTTACCAGAGGGTAAATAATGGGGTTATCAGTATTAAATCACCCAGCATGGTTCCATCATCCCCATTTTTCTTCGCCTGGCAGGTGCAAAGGAGGTTTCAAGAAAGGCATGTTGCACTTTGTCCTGCGCTGCCGAAAAATCATGGTAAAGTTATGGCCATGGCTACCAGTTATAACTGGTTATTTCTATGGGATTATACATTCTATTTCTATGGGGTTTTGTTAGTACTTATAACTAATAAATGGCCATAACTGCATAAACCATCCAAAAATATACCGAAAAATCATGGCTCCTGCCATCCAAAATACTGAACAAATGGTGGGTTTGACCCTCTGGTAAATTAACATAGCTATGGAACATGGCACATTTATAGTTGATTTACTTACTCATGATGGTGATTTTCCATAGCTATGTTAGTTTACCAGAGGGTAACAACAAACAGATGCTCAAATTCAGCCAAACGGCATTCAAAATCAGGATTTCACCAATGAATAATAGACATGGCTCCTGACAATGCAAGTTTGATAGGGATACTGATGATGAACCGTCAGACAAACCCAGACATATTGACCTGACATATTGACCAGTTGGAATTATGTCATCCCAACAGATCCTAAGTAGAAGGAGACACAGTATTTGGAAACAACTGCCAACCAGTTGTGGACGGGGACGTTCACACTCATTTCAAAAGCCTTGGCCAAAATTTGTTTGTCATCCCAACTAGTGGGTAATGACAAATACTGAAGTACAACAGAACCAGTTGTGCTGTGGTCATAAAGATACGGTGGTTTTACCGCAGTTAGCCTTAAGCCCAACATATCAGCCGACAGTAGCAGACATGAATCAACATGAACCGCCACTAACCAACATTAAGCAACTCAACCAATCCAACTATGCACAATTTCCATTATATATGATATTTTAAGACTGATAAACACATCCATTTCGTGCGGGCATGTCCCAGTCATGTTTGACACCGAAGGATAGCTGCAAATCCCACTCCAACGCCATCTGGTGATTCGATATACCAGGTGGTGCCCCCCCCTCAGTTATAAATTGGTGAAATAAGCCCATGAATACTAGTTTGTTTGATATATCACCAACAAAAACCATAGTGAAATTGGAGTTGTGAACCCCAACTTAGCGATTTCGTGGCCACGGGGGCACCACCGACCGTAGGGAAAATCACCGATGAAACGTAGATGATTTGCCGTACTGATTCACAGCGGCCATGTGTCCATTGATTTTGTCTGCAATGTGGGCTCTCAAACGTGATGTGAACGTTGGTTTAAAAACACCAGTAAGTATAGTTATTTGCGTACCATAAACCATAGTTATTGGAGGTATGTTCATTAACTTAGCTATCTTGGGGCCCCACATTCTGGGTGTTATCCTTCTTACGAGCTTGCCCGCCTGATTATCTTCCAAGCCCCTCATTGATGTTAGGGTCAGTATCATTTATACTTGACCTGTTCACTATTTTGGGGATGCCTGTCTTACATCCAATGTGGAACACCCAACCTCTTAAGAAAAATAATAGGACTTCTCTAAACCTACAAAACCTTGTTGTTTCTCTTTTAGACGTAATTACACCAGCATAATTTGGCCAACAAATCAATAGTGACCAACATCAACCAATCAACATCAACAACATTCACCAAGCCATAGTTGTTGGAATTCAAACAAAAGGCTACCCAAATGATCCATTTACAGATGGATTTTCCATAAACCATCCATTTTGGGTACCCCAATGACGACTAGGAAACCTGCATTTATTGGGAATGGGATGGGATACAATGAAATATCATGGGATGTAATTTGAATATTTCCTTTTTGGCAATAGCTAAACACCACTGAATAATGGGAAACAGAGTCAAGGTGATTCAATTGTCAGAAAAGAAAATGAGATTTCCAATCTATAATTGGGGAATGTCATATGTTTTAACCAATCATCAAACCATTAAACCACTGATCGGTCCAATCATCAACCAATATTCCCCAATCACATTGATAGGTTGATTTCCAATATTCATCTTATTGTCATTCACCAGTCAATGGTAGTATCAATGATTATGGGAATAGAGTTTTCATACCACCCATTGAACCCATTAACCCAATAATATGTCCATAATATGTCCAATCATCAAACAATATTCATCCATTTTATACAGATCATTTTACTAGGAACTTTCATGTTGTTTTTTTCCATCCAGCTATTGGGTGTATATCCCCTTAAAAAAAGCCCTGGAAAATAGTACTTTCAACCAATATTCCCATATATCCTTAAACAAATCGTGTGTGTATATATATATATATATATATATAAGATTTAAACCAACAAACACATGAATGTAACCAGCCAAAACTGGAACTATGGTTGCTTATGCTACTTATGGACAATTCAACTGGTTGATAGAATCCCAACGGAACAAGCCACCCATCATCATCATAATCAACAACCATTAATAACCATTAATAACCATTAATAACCATTAATAACCATTAATATCCATTACTCATCCATTAATCATCCATTAATAAACCACCCATCATCATCCACGGCTCCGCACGGCCCGAAAGGCGGTCCCCAACGACTTTGCCCAAGCGTTGCCGCGCGTCTTGCAAGCACTTGCTGGGCGCATCAAGCAGCTCCTGAGAAAACAGCTGGACATTTATCCCACAAAAAACGGGGAAACACGCGTGGTTGAAGATGGTGGATTATAGAATGTGTACTCTTTCATTGGTATAAATGGTTGAATATACATAATTTACATATATGTTATATGTGTTTTTTTGTGGATTAAGTGGGATAGAAGGGAACCATCATTGTCATATTGTCCCAATATGGTGATATGTATGGGTTTACTCAACCTGTCATTTCATTATACTGGTTAATTAACGCCGGAATCCAGTTCGTAGATTTTGAAACTCCCCAATGTGTTGGTAGTATAAGCCCTGCACTGCTCATCAACCAACAGAAGTTTTGGTCACTGTGCAAATGTTGGTGGTTCAAGATGTTGAAGCATTCATAGAATGGATGTGACAACAAGGATGTCATGGGGATATTGGTGAATAGTGGTTTTAAAAAAGTCAACGTGATATGGTTTTTGATCCCCAAATAGAAACATGTGGTAAACGATGTATATACGGTTACGGATCATTGTGAAGTTAACATAGCTTTACCACATGCAGTGGTTTCAAACTGCGCTGAAGTCGTTTTTCGAAGTCATTGAGGATGTGAATCGCCCAAAGGGCGCCCATGATCCACAAGAACTTGCTTTTCCTTCTAAGAGGGGTTTGCTACCCTCTGGTAAATTAACATAGCGAACTGGAAAATCACCCAACTATTTCTATGGCTATTTCCAATAGCTATGATAAATGACCAGAGGGTAACCTAGAAGCTTGGGAAAAGAGTGGAAATGTGTGCCACCTTGTGCTGCAGCATGGTGGGGTAGAGATCCTGTGACTCCTGACATCTTTGTATATTTGTATGAGTGTGAACCATTTGTCATGCATGAGTCAAGTGACAACCCATGAGGTTTTTCTACATCATGACATCCAATTACCTTTTTTGCTTTAGCTACGGCCCCATGACGTATTTTTCGCCTAAACTTGGAGACTTATTTTTTATTGAAAAACAACGAAAGAAAGAAGGTCGTGGAGGCACTAGGTACACATATATCATCATATACCCCCCCTTGGGCCTTGGCTTGGTGAAATTCCCAAACCTAGTATACCTATTTGGTTGGTGAAATTTTCACAAGGTGGTGCCCCCCCCAGTTATAAATTGGTTATAAGACCATGAATACTATAGATCTATCACCAACAAAAACCATAGTGAAATTGGAGTTATGTTCACCAACTTAGCGTTCTCAAACGGGGGCACCACCTTGTTTACCCTCTGGTAAACTAACATAGCTATTGAAAATGGCCATAAATAGTTGATTTTCCGATGAAAAATGGTGATTTTCCATAGCTATGTTAGTTTACCAGAGGGTAACCCATTAAAACATGTGTTGTTTTTTCCCGCTTCAACTTCGCTCGCCCCTTCCCGCGGCTCCGGCGTGCTCAAGGCATTTCGCAGCTTGTAGGGACGCTCCATGACGCTCTCAGCGGCTTTCTGCAAAGTCGCCTAGGGAGCGTCTACAGTTATGGCCATTTACCAGTTATAACTGGTTATAAATGGGATTATACATTCTATAAATGGGGTTATAAGTACTTATAACTGGCAAAGGACCATAACTGTAGGGACCGTTCTGACTTGAACATGGCCGAGATGAGATGCTAATTATGTACCCTCTGGTAAACCTAGAAAAACACGATGGAAAGATCCACCATGTTTAATAGGTAAACTCACTATAAATGGCAATTTTCAATAGCTATGTTTGTCATTACCAGAGGGTATATATATATATATATTGTTATATATATATAGTCATCCCCAGTCATAGATGGAAAGGTAAATCACCATCAAATTAGGAGGGCCTTACTTTTCCATCTATGACTGGGGATGACTATTACAGTAATGAAAAAACATATTTTTTTCAACCGAACAACCCCCTGGAATGTTGGGAGAATATCCCTAGTTCTACATGTACAACCATGAAATATAGTATACTATGATTATAGATATACACTATGGTAATGGTTATATACTATATACTATGGTTATATACTATGGTTGTATATACTATGGTTATATACTATGGTTGTACAATGTGGGGCCCCCGTGGCCACGAAATCGCTAAGTTGGGGTTCACATAACTCCAATTTCACTTTGGTTTATCATACGCAAAGAACCAATAGTATTCATGGGCTTTATAAACCAACATTCACATCACGTTTGGGGGCCCATCATGCTGTAGTATACAACATGGTTACCCTCTGGTAATTTAACATAGCTATGGAAAATGGCCCAGTTATAATTGATTTACCTATTAAAGGTGGTGATTTTCCATAGCTATGTTAGTTTACCAGAGGGTATTTTTCTCCCCTGGATCTTTCTAGAAAAAACCAATGGAGGATCATCCCACGGTGATCCTGGAGTCACCAAGCAGTTACAATCCATGGGATGATCTTCTAAGCAGATAGCGGACTATAGCTACTGTAAGTTGGTGAACATAAGTCCAATAACTATGGTGTTTGTTGGTGATATATCTATAGTTTCTATGGGCTTATAACAATCAAACAAGAAGTGGCGGGTGGTTTCAACCTACCCCTCTGAAAAATGATGGAGTTAGTTAGGATTATGACATTCCCAATATATGGAAAGTCATAAAATTCATGTTCCAAACCACCAACCAGTTATGGATGCTTATGGTAGATGTTTCTATAGCAATATTCATGTGGTGAATCTAACAAAAAAAACAACATTTCACTGGAGGGCCCCTCCTTTTAGAAGTGCCATCAGTTCCGTGGCTTAACCGTCATTTAGTTCGGGGATGTTCAATTGCCATGTTCGCTTAACGGAGGTACCACACATTTTGAAAGGGCAACTTTGGATCTTTGGTGGATGAGACTGCATAAACTGCACAACAGGTTCACATTAGCTTCCCTACATGGTCAATCTTTGGTCGTCCAAAAAGAAAACCTCATCTTTTTCTGGTTATTGTTATTTTCCCATGTATAGCAAAATTGTAAAGGATGATAGAAAGTAGCCTCAGTGGGAATTTCAGGATCCTAAAATGGAGGTACGTTAGTACCAGTGACCATATAAGGCCATATTTTGGGGGTATATCCCCTGAAATATAGCCCTTACATAAGCCTTATAACTGGTACAAGGTGGTGCCCCCCCCAGTTATAAATTGGTGAAATAAGCCCATGAATACTATAGATATATCACCAACAAAAACCATAGTTATTGGAGTTATGTTCACCAACTTAGCGTTCTCGTTTACGGGGGCACCAGCTTGTAGGTACCTCCAACTTGGGTTCCTGGAATGGCGGATGTTTCTCCAAGTTCTCGACAAGTCATTCCATGGGGGTTTCCACAAATGGGATGGCTATAACCTAAGCTATGTGATATTGGTTATAATTATTTATATCTATATCATTATATGTATATATATATATAATGTATATATGTATATGGAAGTTTCCACAAACTGGGGATACCCCAACAGCCAACAGCTGGATACTTTAGAATGGAGAATCCTATATTGATGATGGGGGTATCCCCATGACTTTGGAAACCTCGACCTGCAATATAAACCAATATAACACATACATCCCGTGACGTTTGAGTATCATCTGTGTTTTTTTTTCTGATGTAATTGTAGTGAACCCTCATTTTTCGCCATCAAATCCATCAACTATTCGAAGGCCATGGTTTCTTGTTCCCTGGTGAGATTGATACGACCTGGCTTTAGAACCTCCGTCCAATTATTGCAAAATTCCAATGGATAATCATTATGGTTCCTACAAGGCAAGCCCCCAAGTTATGTCTGTTGCTTTAGAACCTCCGTCCAATTATAGTTATCACTACCATCATTCCCAGTTTTCCTATAGTATTATAAACCAACTTACCTATCTTGGAGGGCCTCGCCTTGTATTAAATGCCCACAGTTATGGCCATGGCTACCAGTTGTAACTGGTTATTTCTATGGGATAAAAAACATTCTATGCATTCTATTTCTATGGGGTTATATATAAGTACTTATAGCTAATAGCCATGGCCAACAGACTGCATACTTGGGGGTGTAGCCGTGACGGTGTAGCCCTCCCACCTCATTTCTCAAGATCCGCTTGTAGCGAAGATCCTACCGTGACATCATGGGGAAATTGATTTCAACGGTTTGATGGGAAGATTTCACCTACAATCTGTTGGCCATGGCTATTAGTTATAAGTACTAAGAAAACCCCATAGAAATAGAATGTATAATCCCATAGAAATATCCAGTTATAACTGGTAGCCATGGCCATAACTGTACAATATCTTGGCTTTGTGGATACATCAAACTGGTAATTATATGGGAATCAAAAACCAACATACCTGCACATCACCTTGTACTTGCACTTCAAAGTGTTCTCCGGTTCGATCAAAAAATAAGAACACTCCTTTACTGTCTTCGAAGACCAAGATTGAAACCAGCAATTGTCATGTCCAACGCAAGACGTTTCCCACGCGTGCCATGCTATTGTTGATGAGTTTCCAGATTTAGATGTCAAAACTTTTCGACAAAGATGCAAACCCAACATTTCCAGAATTTTCCGGGAAACATAGCGGTTTTCAGGAAGGTTCCGAGTCAAGAATGCTTGTCCAACATCAAGAAACACAACACTTCGACATTTCAAATGACCAACCAAAGCCCACGACTCAATGCATGCGCTATAACTGACAAGTCTTCCGACTATCCAAGATCTTTATTTGTTGATGGTTTATTGCTCTGCTGGTTGGGGGGGTCTACTTTGTGATATTATGCGGTAAACTCATCTTATCCCAAAAACGATAAAGTCCAAAATGTATCGCTAAAAATCTATCCAAATATGCTGTTTCTTTGGTTGAAATTCAGACAAATAAAAAACGATAACCATTTGCTCGGACATGTTCTTCATGACCAATATAGGTTAGTATATAACCCCCATTAACATCCATTAACTACATAGATTAATAGATAAATATATGAATCATAAACTCTACAAGGTGGTGGCCCCCCCAGTTATAAATTGGTGAAATAAGCCCATGAATACTAATAGATATATCACCAACAAAAACCATAGTGAAATTGGAGTTATGTTCACCAACTTAGCGTTCTCGTTTACGGGGGCACCACCTTGTAGTTAACCATGGTGCCATGGCCGGGTCCTGCGGACTGCCAAAGCCGCCCTTGGGTCCACTTTGAAACAATTGATCTGCCGAAAGCACTTGCCTCGAACGGACTATGGAAGCGTCCCAAAATAGGGGTACCCCGGGTACCCCCCTATTTTTACAAACCATTTGGGGTACAAGGTGGTGCCCCCGTTCGATAGCTAAGTTGGTGAACATAACTCCAATAACTATGGTTTTTGTTGGTGATATATCTATTAGTATTCATGGGCTTATAACCAATTTACAACTGGGGGGGGCACCACCTTGTACCCCCATTTATGGAAACCCCCATATGGCTAGTAATCTATAGTAATCTATATATAATCTATCTGATTCTGGATTATCTTTTTTGTCATGCACGAAGCTGATGATCCTGATCATTATTCCAATGTCGCAATGAGGTCCATTTCCAGATCCATGCGATCTGTCCCAACTCGGACTACATCTACCATCTGAACAAGGTGGTGCTCCAGTTGGAGATCTATATAGGGTGAAGTTGATTGGGTAGATATATCGAGTATCTACGGTCGTTCATGTTCCAACAAACACAACTGGGGGCACCATCTTGCTTGCCCTAGGGCTTGTAAATCTCAGTTCACATTTACCAACCCCAATTTGTTGATAGGTGTTATCCTCCGGTAAACTAACATAACTATATGGAAAATCACCATGCTATTAATGGCTAAATCAACGAACTAAATGGCAATTTTCATTAGCTTTGTGTATGTTTACCAGAGGGTATATCCCCATTATCCACTTTTCATCCATGATTCTTGATTGTTTTCCATTAATAACCATTATTAACCATGGATATTCCCAATGATATTCCATTAATAACCATTATTGGTAAACTAACATTAGTATGGAATATCCCAGGGTTATTAATAACCATTATTAACCATGGATATTTTAAATGATCCTATTTTTCACCTATGGTGCAATCCCAATGTTTCCTTGATGATCCCACTATATCCCCAGCTGGATTGCCACATGGATGTTTTTATTAGGGTCCCATAGGGGAAGGCTTCGACATCCAAATTTGGCAATATTTTATACAGATTTGTGAACGGGATTTAATCAAATTTGAAATCGTGTTTTTATGTTTTATTCGAGTCTTTCTTGGAATATTAGGGGCACCCTAATACCAAATACCTCTCAACAATAAAATAGATTCTACCGTGTTTACCATTTGAGGAGCAGCGTTTTAGTAATACCCATATCCTCCATGTATGGAATATTTACCAACATTTGCCCCCAAACATGACCCAAATGTAGGTAAATATTCCAGCACCATGGGGCATCTGGGATAGGGAGAGAGGTGCCAGGCAAGATTTGCTACGGTCGGTGGGCCCCCTGTAAAACACGAAATCGCGTTCAGTTGGGCTGAACTAATAACTCCAATAGCTATGGTTTATGGTAGATATATCTATAGTATTCATGGGGTTTATAAACCAACTTAGCTATAACTGGGGGGGCACCACCTTGTATATATACACCATCACATCATCCTTATTACTACCATGAATCATTTGATGGGTCCATCCCATCATATCCCATGATATGCCATCCGTTTCCCACATATCACAGGTCAAACATCACCATGTTTCATGAGAACCCAAATTGATCATTTAGTCCCCCAGTAAGCGACCACTTCTTCATCTGGACATTGTCCACTTAAGATTGATTGTTATTGTTAAACATCTATGAATTACTGACATTTATGTTTTATATTTATTTGTAGTTACTATAATATTCTAATTTGATGGGATAATTCTTCGAATTTTCTATAATTTTCTATAATCTATTCATCTACAGTATCATTGTTTATCTCTCCGCACTTGGCTTCCCGACGGCTTTGAGAAGTCGTGGCGACTCGCGCCAATCTCTGCGGCAAAGTCTCCGAAGAGCCTCTGACTCGGGCCGATCTTGATGTGGGACCCCCAAGTCCCACAAGGTGGTGCCCCCGTTCGATAGCTAAGTTGGTGAACATAACTCCAATAACTATGGTTTTTGTTGGTGATATATCTATTAGTATTCATGGGCTTATAACCAATTTATAACTGGGGGGGGCACCACCTTGCACAAACATCAGGAAAAATGGGAGAAGAACCAGCAAACATCAGGATTCCTATGTGATTTATGAACAAAAATATACAAAGTTTTTATTGGCTTCAATAATCGGCGAACTCTGGTTTATCATGTTGGGTCGTGCACAGTTGGAATATTCTGGGTAACTGATTATTCTACAGTTAACAGAGCTTATCAGTTACTGGTACCCTCTGGCAATTTAACTGTTTAACATAGCGAACTGGAAAATTCCTTATACATGGAGGTTTTCATTTTCCATGGCTATGTTAAATAACCAGGGGGTAACTAGTAACTAATGCTCTATTCCAGGAATATTCCAGGTTGAAGTTTGTACAGTTGGATCATGTTGGGTCAACAGCCAAAACCTGGTGAGGTCCACCATGGGTTTTGACAGTTCAAGGCGAGTCAAAATGGTGAGTCAAAACCCACACCCGAAAAAACCCTGGGTACCCTAAGTTGAAGCTGTTTATGAATGTTTATTCCCCCAGATTTGGTAACAATAGGTTTTGACCCATCTCCAAACAAAGAAACATCGGCACATATCCAATGCATCCCCTGGAAAATCCAGCATTTATACTTTGTTTTCCATGCTAGAAACCTCCATTGATAGGTTGATTCTCCAGTAATCAATCATTCCCATCTATTCTTTGTTACATTGCCCAAATGGAGGTTTCCTAAGTCATGGGAGTACCCCTAAATCACCCATGTTATTTTAGGATGTTCCATTACAATCCACTTTGGGGTACCCCTCTTATTCCCAATAGTTGGGGAATATCATATATTTAGCAATAATCAAAACCATTGAACCAAGAATCTTTCCGATAATCAAGCACCATTCCCAGATTACATTGATAGGCTGATGTCCAATATTCATCTTATGAAATTCCCCACTCAATGGTAATATCAATAATTATTGGAATAAATGCAATATCACCAATGGGAATATCACCTATCAATGTTATTTCCGGATATGTTTATATTCCCAACCCATTAAACCAATAATATTTCCAATAATCCACCAACATTCATCCATTTTAGATCATTTTATCGATGGGAATTTCAGGATCCTAAAATGTAGGTACTGTACCATATAAGGCCATATTTTCTGGGGATATTCTCTTACATAGGCCTTTGTGTTGGGCCGTATATATGGTGGGTACCTCCAATAAATCGGTTCCTGTTGCATGGCCATTGACATAATCAATCAATATGTCCCAATTACATTGATAGGTTAATTTCCAATATTCATCTTATTACATTCACCACTCAATGGTAATATCAATAATTATTGGAATAATTGGGATATCACCAATGGGAATATCACCTATCAATGATAGAAACCTCCATTGATAGATTGATTCTCCAATAATCATTCCCCAATTACAGTAATTCCCATAAATTAATTCCCATATATGCAATATATTTTCTTATTGCAATAATTCCCAGATAGGTTAATGTCAATCATCATTCCCATATATTCTGATGACATGTCCCCATTGGAGGTATCCCCGTCCCCGCCCTGACGGACCGCGACCTGGAGCCGCCCAGGGACGACTTTAGGCCCACCATGGCCGCTACCTGCGCCATGACATCTTCCAGCTATCTATCTATCATATTCATCTATCTAATCTAATCCAATCTAATCTAATCAAATCTAATCTAATCCAATCTATCTAATCAAATCTAATCTAATCTAATCCAATCTAATCAAATCTAATCTAATTTAATCTAATCTAATCAAACCTATTCTAATCCAACGTAATCTAATCAAATCTAATCAAATCTAATCTAATCCAATCTATCTAATCTATCTAATCTAATCGAATCTAATCTATCTAATCTAATCTAATCTAAATATCTATCTATCTAAACAGTCTAATCTGTCAATCTATCCATCTATCCATCTATGAATCTATCCATCGATCTATCTATCTGTCTATCTGTCTATCTGTCTATCTATCTATCTAACTATCTATCTATCTATCTATCTTTCTTTCTATCCACATTTTAGTATGTATATATATATATATACACATTAGTAGATAGGTTGATTTATATGCACATCAAGTCTTTTCATGCATGATTCAATTAGAACCAACATAAATCCACCGCACTTGCCTTGTCCGGTGCATGGGCACCGCTTAAAGCGGCCCCGCGGCGGTTGCAACGCAGCGCACCCGACGGCTGATGTGATCCGCAGCGCATAGATAGAAAGATTTGAAGATAAGGTAAGATAAGGCAAGATAAGAACACCATAGACATCTGGATATATAGATAGATAGTTAGATAGATAAATAGATAAATGGATAGATAGAGAACTGGTGGGCAACTGGCTGAATATCATAATCCCATACCGGCCCATGCTCTTAGTGTCGATGCGTATACAATCGCAACTTATTTCTACAAGGTAACATGGGTATGGGCCACCACCCTTCCTACGTCTCCGTGTGCTGAGTACATGGTTGAGAAAACCTATATACAAAGATGGTTTATAACTAGGACAGCTGTGGTTTATGGTAGCTACAAAAACCAGTCAGATGGGTTAGTTATAAATTAATAAACCAACTTTTAGCTGAGGGGGGCCAGGACATGGTAGCATGGAAGTTTTACAAAAATCAATGGCTTACACCAGCAGATGGAACATGTTGTTTTCTATCTTTTGGTACCCTCATCAAGGCAGACACAGTAATCATCTGGCACCCATCATTCAGTACTGGATCTGATTCAGGGTGAAGTCAGCTGGCTTATGATCATATCCTCAGAAAATCTCTGGTTCACAGGACCGATTCCATGGTCATCATGGGTCATCCATTCCCCATTCCACCTTTAAAAGGGAAAATCAAACATGGTTTATTGGAAAATCCCAGAAAGAGGGGATTTTCCCAGCAAAATCCATCTAGTGCGGGGATTTCCCAGTGATGTCGGGTTGGGGAAGGGTACATGTTTGTCCTTAAAAAAAAAATATCTTAAATCTGACCTTCTTTTCTATACTGAAATTATCTTAAATCATATTTTTCGATGGTTAAAAAATCATGTTCCACCATGTTTGATCATGAAACCGAGATTTTGTTGCCTGATTTCCAAAAACATTGTCATCATCATCCCCTACAGTTATGGCCATTTATTAGTTATAAGTACTAAGAAAACCCCATAGAAATAGAATGTATAATCCCATAGAAATAACCAGTTATAACTGGTAGCCATGGCCATAACTGTAACCACCTCCATCTACACTCTTTTCGCGCCGCAGACCGCGTGCTTTTCGGACGCTTTTCGAACACCAGTCAGACCACCACTGCGTCACCGGGCCTGGTGGAACCCCCATTTGTGGCCTGTGGGATGTGGTATCTTACCATCAATGGGTTGTGTAAACATGTGTAAATCATCCTAAATTGGAGGTTTATTCTTGGTTTGATTTATCGTATACGCTGTAACTATACCCCGCTGAAATTTCATGTGTGTTTGGCTTTAGACAGCTTCAAACATGGCTTTTTATATGGTATAACATGGCTTATGTCCGTCCATCTCATACTGGGGATCCTAAAGAGGGCATATAAATGAAAATGGATTACATAACATTCCCCAATATGTGTTTACAGTCCATCTTTTCACTCGACTCTCGCATGAACTCAGAGGTCCATAATGACACAGCCCCGGACTCTGGTGGTGGGGTCAGTGCATTTGAAACTATGGTGACTGAATATCGTGAAGGTCAAGAGGAGACCAGGGCCAACAATCGGAGCGCCCCAAGAGTTGGTATACGGTGAGAGCATGCATCATGCACATAATTGTAGTGTCGCAAAATTTAACCCAAAGGGAAGTGGGTATCAAAACAGAATAGGAAGGGTGAGGAATCGCAAGGCGTGACCAGATTTGCAAGTGCCAAAGTAGGCAACCTCCTTTTTTTTTTAATAGGGGGGGGCGGGGGGTTTAAGCACCCCTAGCGTTCCTCTTTTGCAGTCTCATGTAATTTGCGAAACGTTGCCTCGCACTATCTTCAGCCACATCATCAATTTGCAAGGAAGGTGGATTCAAAGGTTTTTGGATTCGCGTGCTCATGACGTTTTTAGGGTTGGCCAAATTTAAAAATCTTTTGAGCTCCAATAAAGTTGCAGAGTTTCTTTGTAAAATGGGGCGTATCTTTAACCCTTGGGCATTCGTCTGATACCCCAATCTCCGCAGCGATGAGCAACCCGAGGTATCAAAAGTCGGCAAAATATCTTTGCCTGATATGTTTTTGAGAGTTTGCAAAGCGTTGACAAAAATCAAACACATAACAGAAGCATGCTTTTTCCGTGGTGGAAGTGCCTCAGCCTCAACGGAAAAGTAGCTAACATAAATAGATTTACTTCCTTGTCCGGAGACGCGGATTGGAGGCATGGTCCCCGTGAGAACTAAAAAATTTAATAGGAGTTCCAGCCACGAGATGCCCCAGGCGAAAGGTTCCTGTGAGTGTACAGAGTGATCAGGCCACTCCAGGGTCTGTAGCCATGCCCACAGCCGAAATGCAAAATTGGTTCCTTGCAAGTTCGCTTGTGCTCTTTCAATTGGCAGAGCATCTTGTGTCATGCAGGTAGTTGGGACACGATATACATCATGCAAAATAGCCCACGCATCATCACCGGTGGCCTGTCCACCACGGACATATTCAGTTGTTGAATTCTTGCTTTTAAGCAGTTTCTGTCTTTCCAGATTTAATTGTGCTATGTAGGACAAAGTTATTTTCAACGCTTCCTGTTCATTCATATGCCTAGTTTTGGAATCTTCAATCCATTCCTTACATAGGTCTGGAATACGAACAAGAGCTTGACCAGCGGCGGTATCCGCCAAGGAATTACCATAAATGGCCCACAAATCCTCATAGTCTTTCGCATCATTGAATTGACGGTGACTCTTGACTTTGAAAATTGCAAAAAGCTCGTCTTTCCAAAGCTGTGCCAACTCTTGGACCAAGTCTGGATTGGCCATTTTATGCAGAGGGACTACGGGACCAAATTTACGAATCTTATTGACAACATTAATAACGTACTGGGAGTCCGTGAAAAGAGTGGCACGACATCGCGCAACGTGAACCGACCACCTACAAGCAGTTACCACTGCCGTAAGTTCAGCCCTATCAATGGACTGCTTTCCAGTTGTCAAACCAGTTCCAAGACATTGAAAAAGGTTTTTAAACTCCATCTGAGACGCTGATTGTTGTAGAATCGCTGATCGGTGTTCAGCGCTTTTAGAGAGGTCCAAAATTATGGCCCACGCGCTCCTACGAAAAAATGGGTTTGTTGGGTTTTCACATGCTCCATCAGTGAAAAACCTCACTGATTGCCCACCCAAATTAAGGTCAGGTAAGTCAGGGTTAAATGTGGTAGTAGTGATACATTGTTGAACATGTTCATAGTCAGTAGGAAGACAAGTTATGGGGTGATATCTCCAATCTTTTTTATGATGTGCCAGGATGGCCACAGCATCTGGATGTAATTGTCGAATGTGAGACAACTCTGGGCATTCGACAAACCTATGCTTCTGATCATCCTCCTGTCCACATAAAGGGCAAGCACCCGAGGTCTCGGCATTCCACTTGGACTGAACGATCTGGGATTGCCATCCACCCAGCATATTAAGGATAATGGCTTTTTGATCAGTATCTGACAAAGCCTGAAAAATTCTTTTTGTTGACATTGCATCAAACGGAGTAGAAGGAATACCTCTCCTATGCTCAATCTGTTCTTGAACAAATACTGTCCAACCCAAACGAAATTTCAAAACAAGTTCTTTAATACAACTGTGCAGACAATTGACAGTTAGACCCGAGATATGAGTAAGGTCACCATTTAAGGCAATTTTCCATCCCAGAATCCGCATGTATTTTTGAAAGGTCGTTGCAGGTCCACAAGGGAATGGGACCACCGCCGAAATAGCAAGCTCAACAAATTCCCTAGCCTGGTCCGGACTATGGAAAGCCAAACGACGCAAGACCCGGATGGCGCTGAGAACAACGAATAGCAATGGATCATCAAGGTTTTTGGAAATAATGGTCCCAGTTAACCAGGATGAAGCGGACTTGTGATTCCCGGCCAAAGCAGAAGTTGCTGCTCTACGCAGCTTTGTGAAATGCTGCAACCCCACGAAATGAAGATCTGCCCCATACAAGCCAAATGTCCAACATCCATTCTGGATTCGTTGAGCTTTCTGTTGTAGGGTACAAGGAATCCACGATAATCTTTTTACACGCTGTACGGTTTCTTGAATTTTATCAGCAATGGGTTGCACCCACTGTTGAAGTGAGTATTGCACAATTTCACCAAGATCTTTGACTACATTTTTAATCGGGATAGACGTTTGTCCTGATGGAAATAAAAGTGAAATGTCAGATGAACTATTTTTAAGGTCTTTGGTAGTGGCCCAAACCCAACTCTTATTTGTGTCAACTACCATACGTAGGGATGAAACAAAGTTTAGGGTTTTCTGCCATGCCAAGATATTTTGTTTTTGATTTTTGGTGAGCCAGGACCAATTATCCGCATAGGAATGTGGTTTTAGACAGGGATTTAATAACTTGAAGTACCAGAAAGTACTAATTCCTAGCATTCCCAAAACGCTCCAAGAATCACCTTCTGGCAAGCCGGTAGTGCTTTCCATGCAATGGCCAATACAATCGAAAGCCTGAGGTACCCTACGCATTCTGGCAAGTGAGTTGGTCCAAAACGCCAGGATGTTTTGTGGAATGCCAAGGTTATTCAGGATTATGGCCGTGGGTCTACGGGGAATCAGGTTAAAGGCCTTAACTAAGTCAATACATGACCCGCATAGGCCACTTTTGCCAATTATGGCTTTCTCCACCTGGAGAATTTGATTCAAAGCATGGTCACGTGCTCCTCTGCCAGGGATACCACCACTGATAGCATTAGGCAAGAAAATCATCCATGTTTGAATGACCTGGTCAAACACAATCTTTGATGCCAAACGATAAAGGACACTTAGAATAGTAATGGGTCTACCATCGTGCATGGATTTGGGTTCCGAGTTTTTGGCAAGTAGAACCGCTCGACCCTGCATGAGGTGTGAAGGCATACCAAACGACCAAAGTGCAGCAAATATCTTGGCTAAATGCTTAATGGCAACAGCTGGTAAGGCCTGAAGTTCCTCATGCCGCCATCCGCAAATTCCTTCAGCCTTACCAGGCTTTAACTTATTAATGGTGCGCATCCAAATTTCTGGATCTTCAAGGTTAATGTCGATTTGCATGTGAGGAATGGGAACGTTTTGAATTTCGTCATGAAACGAGGCCCAATCATCATCCGAGAATTGAGACTGATATGAATCTCTCTGCCACATCGGTGACCAAAATTTATAAAATTCCTGGAAAACCTCGCTGGCACATGTCGTAACTCTCATTTGTGAGAGCTCTGCTCTGGCAGGAAGTTTACCAGAGATAAGTCTAATTGTGATGACTCTTTGACACTGCTGGTCGATCATGACAGTCGCATCACCAAATTTAGCAGGCTGATGTTGCATGAACTGAATATCCTGATCAATTTTGACTTGCAAGGGTGCATCGCGGATTTTCCGCAAGAGTGCTGCACTGGCAAAAACTCGGAAAGGCACCTCCTCCAGTTTGGGAGTATTTTTGTTTTTGATAATGCGATATGTAATAGAACCAAAATTTTGGTCATTATCCACCTGAATCAAATGCTTAAAAGATTTTTTCTTTGCAAGCTTTTCTTGATTGCAACTGGCAGTACAATCAAGCTCAGTTAGCTGGGAAAACATAGACAACTCATCCAGAGTGGGAAAAAAAGTTGGTAGACATGTGACCACATCAAAAGCTAATATCCAATGGGCCCATGCCTTACCGTACCCTCTAGCCTTTAAGATGGCCTGCCATTCATTGCGCAGTTGAGGCAAATGACTAATGGGAGGAAATGGGTGGTTAGAACTATCAATACTGAGACTACTCTGAACCGCCCTAATTAAAGACTTGATTCGTCTGGCCTGTCGGATTTTATGATGATTTGTCAATTTAAAGACTTCACATGGAGGATTATATCCCCCATGGAGGTCACTTTTGGGTGTCTTACGACCAGCATTGCTGGAAGGCATTTGTTTGCAGCATCTTCCTCTGTAGGATGGTGGCAAGTTTGGCAGTGGATTGATCGTAGGATTTTCAGAATGTTGAAGTCGGAGAGACGAGTCAACTGACTTTTCAACAGCACTGGACCATTGCGCCAGAACCTCCGCCCCAGACTCAACGGAAGTGATGTCTCCAATTGCCAATTCAACACCACGCGAATGTTTGATATAAAAGGCTTCCA